AACTTCTACTTCTACTAACTTTAACTTTTTTTGTTACTGGACTCTTCTTAACTTGCGCTCGCTTGGTCACCTATATATATATATATATACATCAATTGTCCACTTGAGGCCTGGAACTTTCTACAAACTAGGAGACACTATGATGTCACAATACTCACTTAAGGGAACGAGAAAAATACAGAAGGTTTGAATAACGTGACGTCAAATTAAAACAATTGAACTACACACGCAACGTACAACTCTTATCGAGTTACGTAACGAAAGTTGTCATAACTATCGCCTTTAAAATAATTACTTTTAACACTCTTGCTATGAAAACTAAATTACCATTAAATATTAGATCACTATATAAACTAAGTAATAACCCTTACCTTAATCAGTCTTGTATATCCAACTCTCATAAATTAGAACCCCCCTTTTCAAATATCCTATGTACAGGCCTGATGTAGGATAACGAACGTGAATTTCGAACTTTAGATAAAATTGATGTAACATCCATTTGGAAATAGTTTAATCTTGTGTGTTTATCTACATTTGCTTTCCCGCGTGTAACATAAGTAGTAATGTAGCTGTTTACCAAAACATCCCGAAATTATATGTTCAAAACAATTCAGTTATAACAGGCACATCGAATATGTAATTTATGGTAGGCTTTATTTGGTGAATAGGTGCCAGGATGCGGATTGGGATTTCAAGGCTAGAACCTCGATATGTCACTTAACACGTTTCATACGTTCAGTTGTGGGGGTGTTATAATATGGCTACCATACGGTTAAAAATAGTCACATAGGTGGCAGGTGATGCTTATTAGTTACCACAATAGCCTTCAAATAGGGATGATTATGTCTCAACTTTAGAAGTCATTGATCTGGGAGTTCAAACTAGGTGTTGCATAAAGTGTCGTTCAGGTTTAAAACACCAAAATTCATACCAAAAAATTATAACGCAGCAATAAGTAGTAAACAGGCGACTAATATTACTGGATCTTTCACGTGAAGATTTGTTCAGTTTCAACGACTTGACTAGATTTAAAAAAAAGAAGAAGACAAACTCAGTGATATAAATAAATTATTTAGCTCGAAGTGTTGTACTTACAAAAAGTGTTTTCGGAATAAAAGACGCAGTCGGAAAAGACACGATGCAAGACAACAGTAAAAGAAATGTTATCACGACGCAGACAAAAGTAGTCATGAAAAAGAAGACTTCTTCCGGTTCAGCAACAAGCCATTTCCTAGCGAGAGGGTTAGAAGGCTGGCAGTAGTGAGCGAGCAATCCAAAAGATACAGTTCCTAATACCTGAAAAGTATATAACAGAAAACATTTTGTATACAGTTAAAACACTTGAAAACAATTCAAGGTTGTTTCCTTCGTAACCATAAAAGTAATAACGGTACTTGAATCAAGACTGCTTTACGTAGTTCAGTAAAAAAAAAAAAAAGTAACAGACAGTGCTTATCTTTTACTGGATCTCTCCAAAGCTGAGATCCGGAACCTGTTTT